CGGAGCACTGAGCATCGGGACGACAAGCGTTGAGTATCCCGGAAACCCACGACTTGCGACTGTCGAGGAAGAGGGAGAGGACGTGCTCGGGCCGGAGGTCGTCGATCAAAGCGACGGCGGCCAAGGCGTCGGCGTAGGAGGAGATGGGCAATCGGAGCTCTCGATCGAAGAGGCGGTCGCGGGCGCGCTGAGAGATCTGGGACTTGAAGCTGTCGACGATCTGCCACTGGTGCTGGAGGAGAGGGAAGTTGGAGAGGAAGCACACCTGACCGGGGAGGGCGAGGATGGAGTGCACGTGGCTGGCGCGGACGTAGCGCGCGGCGGACTCGAGAAACATGGACTCGTCGAGGCAGCCCCAGATGTTCTCGGGAGTGTCAACGAGGTACTTGACTCGGCAGGCAATGCCATAGATGCGGTGGCGGGTCGGGTCGTGGCGGGAGGGATCGGGAGGGGAGGCGGAGGAGGCGGAGGAGAGGGAATTGATGGAGGTGTGGACGGAAGAGAGGTTTTGGGAGATGGAGTGGGAGGAGCGCTTCATGAGGACGATGGAATCGGCGGAGTCGATGAGATCGCGGTAGCGTGTGCCGACGAGTTGGCGGAGCTCCTCCTTCTTGGACTGGATCTGGGTGCGGGTGGTGGACTCGACGGCGCGGATCTCGGAAATGGGTTTGGAGCGGAAGAGGGATTCGGCATCTCGGGAAGCGGCGGCTGCAGTGGCGAAGGAAGTGGTGGCGGCGCTGCTGAGGGCATCGCCGGAATTAACTCTCATTGCTTTGGCGGTTGTGGATGGCCAACTGAAAGTGTGGGGACGGGTTGCGATTGTAACTGCAATTTTTTCTTCTCCGCTTCTGGTTTTTGAGTTTTAGAGACTCGCGCGAGAGAACACCGATCACTCTTCGATAAGGATCCGACTGATTGATCCAGATCCGATGATTCGAATAGCATCCAAATCCGTTGATCCGAATAACATTCAAATCCTTTAATCTTATTATAAATAAAATCCGATTCGAATTCCACCCGTTTACCGGTAGTAGTAGTTGTATTCTCTTGCATTATTTAAATCTGAACCGTCCAAGAGAAATCGTACCTGTAGTCTTACGAGTATTTCAGATTACGCGTATGTTGGATGCATGAGGGCAATTCCACCCCTAAAAAAAAAGGGTTAGCAATAAACCCCAATAAAGAGTAATAGGCCAAAGCATCTCCACCCAAAAAAAATTTGGCACCCAGTCCATTTAAAATATTATTAATTTTTTTATAAAATAATAAATAAATAAAAATTGTTTTAATTTCGGATAAGATTTTTAATCAATCTCATCACGTCACGTGTCATTAGCCGAACATACTATTTTGTGAATAGATTTCCATTAAGATTTTCAACTAATCCTGACACGCCACATATCACTTTCTGTTTACAATAATTTAGCCAAGATTTCGATAAGATTTTTAACCAATATTGTGACGCCACGTGTCATTATCCGAACGTACTATTTTGTGGATAGATTTCTGATAAGATTTTCAACCAATCTCGCCGCGCCACGTGTCACTTCCTGTTTACAATAATTTAGCTAAAATTTCGATAAGATTTTCAACTAATCACGTAGTGACATGTGACATTATCCAGAACCTTATCCTTTTTTTTTTGTACATATAAACCCTACATCCCTACATCCATCCTCACATCAAACTCAATCCTTTTTTTTAGCTCATAATCCTTCTTCACCGTTTTCAAATCTTAAGTTCTTACAATGTCTTCTTCAAGGAGAGTGTATAAACAGTTGCAGGAGCAACAGAAAAGGTTGTTGGCACAACAGGAAGAATTGGTCAATCTCGAGGAAGGTGGAGGTGGAGATGAGGCTTTCACAATGGAGGAGGATGAGGATGATCACCATAGAAGGTAGAAGACCTCACATTCCCGCTATGTCATGGAAGCGGTGGGTCAGATAGCAAAACCTAGACGTGTCACAAACATCGATAGAAGAAGGGAAATACGAGGTAAATATCTATTGGAAGATTATTTTATTCCCAACAACGTATTCCTTGATCATGTTTTTAGAATGCAACGAAGTTTGTTCGACAAGATCATGAGTGATGTTTGCAACCATGATCCATACTTTGTACAAAAAGATGATGCTTTTCATGTTCTATGTCTTTTTCCTGAGTAAAAAATTACGGCTGCCTTGCGAATTTTGCATATGGAGCATCTGCAGATCAAGTGGATGAGATCGCAAGGATGGGAAAAACAACTGTTTTGGAGTCCCTGATGCGGTTTTGCTCTGCAATTGAAGCCCTATACACCAATGAGTACCTCTAGAAACCCACGCCAAGGGACATGGGAAGGCTTATGAGGAAGGGTGAGATGCGAGGCTTCCTTTGCATGATTGGACTTGGAAAATATGTCCAAGTGCGTGACAAGGAGCTTATGGCGACAGAAAAGTAACCAAAAACATCATTTTGGAAGCGGTGACTTCATTTTATACATGAATTTGGCATGCTTTTTTTGGTGTTCCAGGAGATAAGAATGACATAAATGTCTTTGCCCAATCTCCAGTGTTCGACGAACTGCTGTAAGGAAAATAGCCAAGATGCACATATTGGGTTAATGGTAATAAATATGAGGGACCATACTACCTTACAAATAGCATTTACCCAAGGTGGTCAACATTTGTCAAAACAGTGCCACATCCACATAGTGAAAAAGAAAAACACTTCACAAGATGTCAAGTGGGGTGTAGGAAGGATGTCGAGCATTGTTTTAGTATCCTGCAAGCTTGTTGGGCGATTGTCAGGGCTGCAGCTAAAATGTTTGATGTTGAGGCTCTTCGATCCACCATGATAACTTGTATTATTCTCCACAACATGATTGTTGAAGATGAGTATGATTATGATGTCGTTGATGAATACGAGCCGGATCTGATGAACAACTCAAGAAAACAAATCTATTGTGCTCATGACCGGACCGAAGATCCGGTGCAACACGAGCTATTGAAACGGGATAGACGTTACAATGAATTGATCGTTCAGTGGTATACTTCATTGCAAGAGTCATACTGGCACGTAAACCACCAGAATGACTTGATTGAGCACTAGTGGGGATTGCACGAAGGCGAAGATAATTAAAATGAGGCTTGTGATTGAAGAATAAAGTGTAATTTTTTAAAGTAACCTAATTTAGTGTGTTTTTTTTAGTTTATATGGTGAGGTTATGTAATTTTATTTGGTGTTTTTTTAATAGTTTATTTGGTGAGTTTATGTAATCTTATTTGATGTGTTTAAATAAAGTACAAAAAATATATTTGAAATTGCATAAACTTCTAAAAATAAATAAGAAATTACATAAAAATTAAATAACATATTAAATAAAGTACTACAAATAAATACGAAATTATACAAAGTATGTGGAGCTATGATATGTGGTGCTACGATTTTCGTTGCTAGGATTTCTGTAGATAGAACCCCCTCAACTTGTTTCGGCATCTTTTGCATGCCTCCTTCACACGACCTTTTTTTTTTTCCGATGTCCAAAAATATTTTGAATCTGGAGACAGTCCTATTAGATGCTTGTTCATAGTGTCACGATCTGCTTGAGCCATCATTTCTTCTTTAAGCATCTCATTTTCTCGATGAAGTGCTTCTCTAATCATCTCGTTCTCTCGATTAACTATTTCTCTGTCTCTCAACTGTCGCATCACGGGCCTCAGTAACTGCTATTATTGCTGCCATATCATCAATTTTTTCCTCATCTCTAACATTTTCCCGCGTCATGTTTAGTTCACCTTGGCGAGCAAGTTCCTCCGTATATTTAGTGTAGTCATTTTTGGAAGAACTACATTTTTTCTTTGATGCCTTTTTACCTTGAGGCCTGAGGGACTGATGAGTCGGTTGGGTCTCCGGCACTTGTTCAGGCGTGCCTTCCGTGTCTTCAAATGTGTTGGCTTCTTGTTTAGCAGTGTTTGCGTCTGGTGAACTGTGTAGACCCATGTCGTGCATGACAACTTATGGACCTGTTGCCACAATTTTGTATATGGTGCAATCTTTGACAATTTGCCAACATTTCCATTTGTTGAATGATTTGTGTCTGGTTCTTTGCATTGTAGAATGCTTGTGCTTGTAATGTCTATAAAAATGTGGGATAAGATAGTATTAAAAAATGCGGGTGTAACACAAATAAATAAATTAAAATATTGAAGCAGGTGGAATGCATATAAATTACATAAAAATTAAATAAATTAAAATATTGATGCATGTGAAATGCATATAAATAAATAAAAATATTGTCATCTAATCCGCTAAACTTGTCCCACTATGAAGATTAACGAAAGCATGAGAGATGACGTTTTTCCAACAAGTAAAGGATGCGTTGAGTTTTTTCCAACGACCTTGAAGACCTTGACTAGTTCTGGTGTCTTTTCCATGTACATCGCAAAACGCTTTCGTAATTTTACTATACATTTCTCGTTTATCCATATCATTACCCGTAATTGGGTCATGAGTAGTGTGAACCCATTCACACAACGTTACATCTTCAGTGAGCTTCCACGAAGTCATTTTTTTTCTCTCAAAGTGTACAAAATATTGAAATGTAGAAAGTGTAGAAAGTGTAGAAAATATTGAAATGTGGTGTAAGGTGGAAGATGAGGGTTATGTATTTATAGGAAAAACAAATTAAATTTTTTGTATTTAATTTTTTTTCTTCATAATTTATGACCGTTGATATGTGATTGGACGGTCCAGTTTAAAAGTGAAATTCAAATTGTTTTTACCGTTGGAAATCCAACGGCATAGAGTGGGCCACGTCGCCTAGCCCGGGTGCCATTTGAGTGCGCCTGTCAACGGGCCCCGCCTCTGATCTCTTGTCTCCTACTCGCGCACACGCGCGCGTTAAGGCCAAGCGCCAGCGCAAAAATGCAAATGGGCTGGTCCCTTGGTCAGTCGATTTTAGGCTGGCCTGGAGACTGGATTGGGCTAGATGCCAGTCTATTCCAAGGGCTGGAGTGGATTGGCTGAGTCCCAGCCTGTTTTTTCCACTGGGTGCCGGCCTCTTTTGCTTCCGGTGGAAGTGCTCTGAGCTCTTGGACAATTCGTCTTACACGCTCTTGGACAATTTGTCACTCGTCGCACTCGATAAAATTGGGGCTGGGCAAAAAATCCCTATTGGTCCTTAGTTGCCACTCGTCGCACTCGATGCCTATCAAATATCTGAGAATTGAATTCTTCCGACTCTCACTTTTCTCACTCCGTCTCTCTCAGTCGCCGGCCGTCCACTCCTCCTCCTCTCCAATCTCTCTCACGGTCTCACCTCCACCACAACCATCGTGACTTCGTCTTCTCTCATGGTAAGTCAATTTCTTGAATTTGTTTGCATTTTATAAAATTAGGGTTTTAATTTTTAGATTCAAATTGGGATTGGAATTGAGGGTTTCTCTGAAATTGTAAGATTAGGGTTTTAATTTGTCGCTGGATTTTGTAGTTTTGATGTAGTTAACCTCAATCTTTAACACTAATGTAATTGGGATTGGAATTGGGGGTTTCTCTGAAATTGGGGTTTTCTCTGAATTTGTTTGCATTTGAACTTGGGGGTTTCTCTGAAATTGGGGGTCTTTAACATTGTAATCCTTCCGTTGTTTTACCATCGCCATATTGGATGATACTATCGATTGCTTTTATTAATGGGATGAAAATGATCCCAATCTGTCTAGCTTCAATTGAAAAGAACTGGTTCAATTTGGATTCTGTACGGGTCATCAAACTAAATACTATCGATTCGATTCTGTGTTCTGCATTTGTGTTCTTACTTGTTCATCAAACGTACGGGGTGGGTGTTGGACCCTTGCTGCGTCTCGAAGGGGTAATTGCTTTTATTTTATATGAATTGAACTTATTAGTTATTAAGGCATTTAGTTTGATGTTTGCTATTACATTTGGATTTTATTAATGCCATAAGGCTTTGACTTGAACTTTGATTTTTCATTTTGGTTTGTACTAATGCATTTACTTGAACTTTGTTGTTGGATTGAATTTTGTATGCTCAGATTAGTCATGTAGCAGGCTAGCAGCAGGGAGAACTCAATTTTTGTTGCATCTATATGCTCAGATTAGTCAGATTAGTCTGACTTTTGCTTTTGTTAATTTTGATCTCCTTAATTTTGGGATGGATGTTTTCACTATATCCATCATCTCAGAAGCAGGGAGACTCTGTTGGTATGGATAAGCTGAACAATTTAGTCATGTGCACTGTGCACTTTGTTAATTTTGGGCCAAAAACTGATTTGGGCATTTTTTTTCACAAAAACTGAAAAACACTAAAACAGGCCTTGTTCCTTAAAGGCCCATAACCGAACCGAACCTATACCTAGACCTAACCGAACCGAACCTATTAGGTTCTGTACTAAGTCGGTACAACCATTCATACCGTACTGAACCGTACCAAAATTTTACTATGGGTTCGGTTTCGGTACCATCTCGGTACCGAACCGTGCCCAGGCCTAGATAAAATCGAGATAAGATCCTTATATACTTGTACCATCCCACACCACAATTCATATGTGAAGCTCCCTCCCTCTCTCTCTCTCTCTCTCTCTCTCTCTCTCTCTCTCTCGTGATGCAGCTTCGACGATGGAGTATCGTCATCGTCGCCACAGTCTTTGCAACTGTCATCCAAGCGTTTTCCACGGCAAACTCCCTCCAAGAAGCGGATAAATTCACAAGGTTGCCAGGTCAACCACAAGTCAACTTCCAGCAATATGCAGGATATGTAACTGTGGATGAAAAGCAAGAGAGATCTCTTTTTTACTACTTTGTTGAAGCACAAACTAATCCTGCTTCCAAGCCTCTTGTTCTTTGGCTCAATGGAGGTGAGCTTCCATCGAAATCCAGTATCAAGTAATATAATCCCTACCGGAAACATTTTACGTGTTATTTGTTTTTGTTATTCATACTGTTTCAGCCAACTTAGTGACGCTTGCGTCTGCAACATTTTATACATTATTGAATGTGTGTTACATAGTACAAACCAAATAATTGAGCTTTGTGACTTTTAATTGAAGGTCCTGGTTGTTCATCTGTTGGAGTTGGAGCTTTCAACGAGAACGGACCTTTTCAACCAAGCAGAGACATTTTACTCAAGAACGATTTTAGTTGGAATAGAGGTGATTAATCCATTAAATTACTCTTTAAGTGATCACAATAGTGTCACTGTAATTGTTAATTAGCTTCTGATCTGGATTATTCACGTAATGTTGATACTAATTATGATGGATTTTCTCGTGTTTAATCTTTTCAGAAGCAAATATGCTGTACTTGGAGTCACCTGCAGGAGTTGGCTTTTCCTACTCAGCAAACAAATCATTTTATGGCTACATGAACGACGATATCACAGGTTTTCATTTCACATGACTTTCTCAATCCTCATTCAACCAACAAAATATAACCCGAAAATAGTAAACTTGTACATTCTGATCATGTTCTGATTCTCTTCTTTGTAGCACGAGATAATATCGAGTTCCTTCAGCGCTGGTTCGACAAATTCCCCGAGTATAAAAATAGGGATTTCTTTATCACAGGAGAGAGCTATGCAGGTAACATCATTTACTTGTAAACACCATCATTTTCTATCAGTAATGACCAATTAGAAAACTCGAAAGGTACAAACTTACGACGTGCTTCTAAAAAATTCCATTCTGTCACTGCCAGGCCACTATGTTCCGCAGCTTGCACAACTCATTATCCAATCAAAACTGAAGTTCAATCTGAAAGCAATAGCAGTAAGCAAATGAGAATCGAAAAAGTGAAGTAACTTTGGAGTTGGTGTTTTCGAAGAAGATGTCACGCTTGAGCTTTTTTTGCTTGCAGATTGGCAATCCTCTTTTAGAATTCAATTCTGATAAAAACGCACAAGCAGAGTACTGGTGGTCTCATGGATTAATATTGGATGCGACCTTCGAATTTGACTTCAGTCTGTAACTTTTCTGAAATTGTTAGACAGATAGACATTCGTGGTGGTCCACTTAGCCCTGCTTGTGATGCAGTAGCGAACCAATTTGAAAGTGAAGTCCCTGACCATTTGATCAACCAATATGACGTTACTCGCAATGTCTGTTTATCATCGGTCGAGGCTCAATCTTTCCAACTGGTAAGCCTTGGTATTTTCTCCTTTCATTTCTTTCAATTTCTCTATGTTAATATACAAACTTCCAACTCACTGATCACATCTGCAGCGAAAAACAGAGAAGATAGATGTCTGTATCGGAGATGAAACAGTTACATACTTAAACCGACCAGATGTACAGGAGGTGCTTCATGCCCGAGTCACAAATTGGACAACTTGCAGCAAGTAATCATCTCATCTCATTTGAATCACTGATGCACATAAACATAGTCGGTTCCGAAGATGAATCAAAACATGAAAAGAGTTCCAATTATATTCCAAACTATTCAAAGATTGAAGAAATGTTCCCTGTGCAGCAATTCTTTTTTGTTTACTGTGCTTCTAACTTTGATTATCCTCTTTTGCAGCAGAGTTGTCATCCAGTATGACATGAAAAACCTGGAAACACCGATGCTTCCAGTTTTAGGTGACCTTGTCAAGTCTGGAATTCGGGTTTTAATTTACAGGTGATGAGTCTCACCGTTGTACAAATCAAAACTCTTGCCATCTCTGATAATCTTAGTCTTTTAGAAAGTGTACTTAAAAGTACATCTTACATGTTTTCCACAGTGGAGATCAAGATTCTGCTATTCCACTAACGAGTACACGGACACTGGTGAACGGATTGGCAAAGGACTTGGGGCTACAAACGAACGTGCCTTACAGTGTCTGGGTTCAAGAAAAACAGGTCGGTTCGTGAATATAATAACAGTGGAAAATTCGGACTATCTACTTGTGGTCTTAGCAGTTTTTATCCCTTATAAATTTCTAACTTTTCAGGTTGCTGGATGGACACAAGTATACAGTGACGCTTTATCTTACGCTACCATAAGAGGAGCAGGCCATGAAGCTCCAATTTCGCAGCCAGAGAGATCACTACTTATGTTTGCCTCATTTCTGAGAGGAAAGCCACTGCCAAAAGCCATCACTAAGTACTAACTGACCAAATTGCAGAAATCAAGAAGAAGCATATATATTCATTTCTTACGCGTGAACAAATTGTGAGAAAATCGGACATTTGGAGGAATGACCGGCAACATCCGAATAAAACTTCTCCCATATGTTAAAAAGAGTTTATTTGACACTCCAGCAGAAATCGAAAATGTTCGTCTGAGTTATTAACAACTTTAAGGATGAGTCCAGTACATGGCACCCAACTCGTCAAATCCACTGGACTTGTGAACAAAATGAGCATGGTTAATAGCCAACTTATACAAAGCGCGTTGTATTTCAAACCAATAACGTACATTTACATCATCTCGCTCGTTCTTACTTCTAATGATACGTATAAACATAACATGTTTAAATTCTTAGATTGTTCACGGCTAAAAACAGAACCCTTTGCAGGAAAATTTGTACGTGGTACGTTGCATTGAGGCACGCCATATACTCGGTGAGGCAAGATATTCAATCACCATTGGAGATTAAGACTCAGGCCTTTGACAGTTTCCTAATGAAGGTTATGCAGATTATGTTTAATAGGCAACTTATACAAAGCGCCATGTATTTCAAACCAATAACATACATCGATGTCCTCTCGCTAGTTCTTACTTCTTATGATGATGCATAATAACATAACATGTTTAAATTCTTAGATTGTTCGCTGCTAAAACAGAACCCCTTGCAGGAAAATTTGTACGTGTCACTTTGCATTGAGGCACACCATATACTCGGTGAGGCAAGATAATCGATCACCATTGGAGGATACGATTCAGGCCTTTGACAATTTCCCAATGACAGTTATGCAGATTATGTTTGTTTTCCTCTTTTGAGAACCCTTTAGGTTTATTTTCCTCTTTCAAGAGAACCCTTTAGATTTATTTTCCTCTTTCGAGAACCCTTTAGGTTTATTTTCCTGTGTTTCTAGCAAGACTGTAATTTGTAGTGAAATAAGAGAGGGAGGTGTGCAAGATAAATTTATCAAGAACGAAGTAGTATTCATCGGATTCTTCGATTCCATGACTCAAGTAGTAGTACTAGTAGTAGTAGAATTCACCTTTTTAATTTTAGGCTGTCGGATCGGATGAATTGAAGAAAATCAACGGACATAAATTATCAAGATTTTGTGAGAAGTAAAATGAAGTGTGTGGATAGCACACCCCATAAATAAATTCCGATTCGAATTCGACCCGTTTACCCGTACTAGTAGTTGTTGGTGACACTGGACCACTATATGTATTCTCTTGCATTATTTGAATCTGAACCGTCCATGAGAAATCATACGGCGTATGTACCCGTAGTCTTACGAGTATTTCAGATAACGCGTATGTTGGATACATGAGCTCCTGGACAATTCGTCTTACACGCTCTTGGACAATTTGTCTTACACAACTTAGCTAGCTGGTACCAGATAAAATCGAGAAAAAATCTTTATATTGTACCATCCCACACCACAATTCATATGTGAAGCTCGCTGCCTCTCTCTCTCTCTCTCTCTCTCTCTCTCATGATGCAGCCTCGACGAGGGAGTGTCGTCGTCGTCGCCGTAGTCTTTGCAACTGTCATCCAAGCGTTTTCCACGACACACTCCCTCCAAGAAGCTGATAAAATCACAAGGTTGCCTGGTCAACCACAGGTCAACTTCCAGCAACATGCAGGATATGTAACTGTGGATGAAAAGCAAGAGAGATCTCTTTTTTACTACTTTGTTGAAGCACAAACTGATCCTGCTTCAAAGCCTCTTGTTCTTTGGCTCAATGGAGGTGAGCTTCCATCCAAATCCATTTTCAAATATAATCCCTACGGGAAAAATTTCATGCGTTGTTTGTTTTTGTTCTTACCATTGTTCTAAAAATCTCCGGCCTAATGCCGTTTAGGCGCTAGACGGCTAGTCACCGTCCCGATTAATGCCTAGGCATTTCAAAAATAAGAAATGGTGCCTAAACCTGCTGAGGCACCCTCCTAGTCCGCCCATACTTGTCTAGGCACCTACTTAGTGGCGACTCACTTAGACAGAAAATAGATAACTTTCATTTTGTATTTTATTTTTTTCAATAAATTGTAAGAGACTTGCTGAATAGTTAAATACACATTATATGCTTGTTCCCCATGTTTTCGTTATGTTCCAATACTTCATAATATATATGTCAATCTATTTTGTAGTTTATGATGAAATTATATATATTTTAAGTATAAACAAACACTTATTTACACGAAATATAACAGATTTACTTAAATCCGTCTAGTCCACCTAAGCGCCCGCCTAGACCCCGTCTAGGCGCTAGGTCCCAACCCGCCGCCCGACTAACGCCTAGCGTCTTTTAGAACCTTGGCTCTTACTGCTTCAGCCAACTTAGTGACGCCTATTTTTGTAACATTTTATACATTGATGAATATGTGTTGCGTAGTACAATTACAAACCAAATAACTGAGCTTTGTGAGTTTAAAGTGAAGGTCCTGGTTGTTCATCTGTTGGAGTTGGAGCTTTCAACGAGAACGGACCTTTTCAACCAAGCGGAGACATTTTACTCAAGAACGATTTTAGTTGGAATAGAGGTAATTAATCCATTAAATTAGTCTTTAAGTGATCACAATTGTGTCACATTCGTTCTTAATTAGATTCTGCTCCCGATTATTCACGTAACATTGATAGTTTGATACTAATTACGAATTTTCTCCTGTTCATATAATCTTTGCAGAAGCAAATATGCTATACTTGGAGTCACCTGCAGGAGTAGGCTTCTCCTACTCAGCAAACAAATCATTCTATGGCTTCGTGAACGACGATATCACAGGTTTTCGCTTCACATGACTTCCTCAATCCTCATTCAACCAACAAAATATAACCCGAAAGTAATAAACATGTACATTCTGATCATGTTCCGATTCTCTTCTTTTTAGCACAACATAATCTCGAGTTCCTTCAGCGCTGGTTCGACGAATTCCCCGAGTATAGAAATAGGGATTTCTTTATCACAGGAGAGAGCTATGCAGGTAATATAATTTACTTGTAAACACCATCATTTTCTATAACTAATGACCAATTAGAAAACTCGAAAGGTACAAACTTATGACGTGCTTCTAAAAAATTCCATTCTGTCACTGCCAGGCCACTATGTTCCACAGCTTGCACAACTCATTATCCAATCAAAACCGAAGTTCAATCTGAAAGCAGTGGCAGTAAGCAAACGAGAATTGAAAAAGTGAAGTGACTTTGGAGTTGATGTTTTTGACTAAGATGTCACGCGTGAGCTTTTTTTTGCTTGCAGATTGGCAATCCTCTTTTCGAATTCAATACTGATATCAACTCACGAGCAGAGTACTGGTGGTCTCATGGATTAATATCAGATGCGACCTTCGAAAATTTGACTTCAGTCTGCAACTATTCTGAAATTTTTAGACAGGAGGTAATTCGTGGTGGTCCACTTATCCCTGCTTGTGATGCAGTAGCGAACCAATTTGAAAGAGAAGTCCCTGAACATTTGATCGACCAATATGACGTTACTCTCGATGTCTGTTTATCATCCGTTGAAGCTCAAGCTTTCCAACTGGTAAGCCTTGGTATTTTCTCCTTTCATTTCTTTCAAATTCTCTACGTTAATATACAAACTTCCAACTCGCTGATCACATCTGCAGCGAAAAACAGCGAAGATAGATGTCTGTATCGAAGATGAAACAGTTTCATACTTAAACCGACCAGATGTACAGGAGGCGCTTCATGCACGAGTCACAAATTGGATAACTTGCAGCAAGTAATCATCTCATCTCATTTGAATCACTGATGCACATAAACATAGTAGGTTCCGAAGATGAATCAAAACATGAAATGAATTCCAATTATATTCCAAACTATTCATAGATTGAAGAAATGTTCCCTGTGCAGCAATTCTTTTTTGTTTACTGTGCTTCTAACTTTGATTATCCTCTTTTACAGCCGAGTTGTCATCCAGTATGACATGAAAAACAAGGAAACACCGATGCTTCCAGTTTTAGGTGAACTTGTCAAGTCTGGAATTCGGGTTTTGATTTACAGGTGATGAGTCTCACCATTGTACAAGTCAAAACTCCTGCCATCTTTGATAATCTTAGTCTTTTAGAAATTGTCCTTAAAAGTTTATCTTACATGTTTTCCACAGTGGAGATCAAGATTCTATTATTCCACTAATAAGTACACGGACACTGGTGAACGGATTGGCAAAGGACTTGGGGCTACAAACGAATGTGCCTTACAGAGTCTGGTTTGCAGAAAAACAGGTCGGTTCGTGAATATAATATCAGTGGAAAATTCGGACTATCTACTTGTGGTCTTAGTAGTTTTTATCCTTTATAAATTTTTAGCTTTTCAGGTTGCTGGATGGACACAAGTATACAGTGACGCTTTATCATACGCTACCATAAGAGGAGCAGGCCATGAAGCTCCAATTTCGCAGCCAGAGAGATCATTACTTCTATTTACTTCATTTCTGACAGGAATGCCATTGCCAAAAGCCTGAAGTACTAACTGACACAAACTGCAGAAATCAAGAAGAAACATATCTATTCATTTCTTACAATGAATAATTGAGTGAACAAATTGTAAGAAAATCGGTATACTCATGAGAACAAGAATGTCAGTTTTAATTAGCGCTTTTTCTCCGCATCAATAAAGACTTCGGAGGAATGACAGGCAACATCCGAATAAAACTTCTTCCATATGTTAAAAAGAGTATAAGTGACACTCCAACAGAAATCGAAATTGTACGTCTGAGTTGTTATCAACTTTAAGGATGAGTCCAGTACATGGTACCCAACTCGTCAAATCCGCTAGACTCGTGAACAAAATGGGCATGGTTAATAGCCAACTTATACAAAGCGCATTGTATTTCAAACCAATAACATACATCGATGTCCTCTCGCTAGTTCTCACTTCTTATGATGCATAATAACATAACATGTTTAAATTCTTAGATTGTTCGCTGCTAAAACAGAACCCTTTGCAGGAAAATTTGTACGTGTCACTTTGCTTTGAGGCACACCATATACTCGGTGAGGCAAGATATTCGATCACCATTGGAGGATAAGACTCAGGCCTTTGATAATTAAATATGGAGATTATGGTTACTTTCCTCTTTCGAGAACCCTTCAGGTTTATTTTCCTCTTTCGAGAACCCTTTAGGTTTATTTTCCTGTGTTTCTAGCAAGACTGTAATTTGTAGTGAAATAAGAGAGGGAGGAGTGCAAGATAAATTTATCAAGAACGACAGCAGAACCAAAATAACCGACTTCCAACAATGAATTAATTAAATTATAATTACAAAGCAATTGACAATCTCTAAACAAAACAATAGCAAGGCGAATATTGTTCATAGCCAAACGGTAAATCAAGAGTTAAACCAATCAAACCAAAAATTACTAGAAGACTAGAAGTTCGATAACCAAGGATTCAAGATGGTGTCCTTAGTTAAATCTTCTTCTGTAATTCTGAGTTCAAAATCCACGCACTTGGCAGCATTGGACATTTCACAGGCAATGGAGGCTTCAATTCCATGGCTGAAGTACTAGCAGTAGAAGTAGTATTCATCGGATTCTTCGATTCCATGACTGAAGTAGTAGTACTAGTAGTAGTAGAATTCACCGGATTCTTATTAAAACCACCCCATTGGGCCAATTCATAAGTAACTTTTTGGCCTAATGCATCGTGAATAAATGGATATACAGGGTCCTGAGAGGGGGCATCTGCACATCAAAATACGCAGGGTTCAAGCATCGCGGTGTTTTGCTTGAGCTTGAGTGAGTTCGGGTTAAATTTTGATTTTGTTTCACAGTATAATATCTTTCCATGGAATCAATCCCCAGTGTCGATGCTTGTATCCTGGCTTCGAGTGAAGCAATGAGTTTAATCAATTCATCTTCTGAAAGTAGGTCAATTCGAGCATCCTCTGTTGGGTACTTATTCTCGGAAATGTGCTTATTGCCCGGTTTTTGAAGATTAGGATCGACATGATCATCATCATCACCATCACCACATCACTGTGATCACCGTCATCACCGTCTGCTTCTTTCTTCATCTTGGCCTCATAAAAATCAGACAAACTGAAGCTTCTCTTTAGGAAATCGGCGGCAGCAGCATCCTTGGAAGCCTTGTACCTGCCGAGAATGCGATTGAATTCAACTGGATCTTGCGGCCATGTCTTGGGCTGAATTCGACCCGTTTACCGGTACTAGTAGTTGTTGGTGACATTGGAACACTATCAGTATTCTCTTACATTATTTGAATTTGAACCGTCCTTGAGAAATCGTACGGCGTATGTACCCGTAGTTTTACGGGTATTTCAGAGAACACATATTTTAGAGAATTTTAACGGATACATAATTTGTCTTCTAGATGACTATTCATTCATCACACAAAACACATTTCAGAAAACATCTTAACGAACACAAAACTACGCGTCTCTCGCATTGCCATTCACTAAGTAAAGAAAATATGGGTTGGAAGCATTCCAATTTGGATTGACCCAAGCCTTCCACATTTGGTAGTTCTTAGCCTTTGTGCAAATGATCTCCACAGTGCCATTTTTGATGAACTCTGTAGTCTCACAATTCTCCAAATTTTGGACCTTGAAGACGATACCAAGATGTTTCCAAAATTTGACATCCATGACCTTTTCAAGCGAAGGAGATACCAGTACCGAATCTACATAGAGAATGCATTTTTGGGGACCAAAGCTAGAGAAGCGAAATATAACACAGTGCTTGGTTTGATAACGAGCTTGGACCTTTCAAGCAACATGATATTTGGAGAAATCCCTGAAGAGCTGACCAGCCTCATTTGCTTGCAATCGTTGAACTTATCCAATAATCTTCACACAGGAAGAATCCCTTTCAAGATCAATGATATGGGATCATTAGAATCACTTGATTGCTATGCGAACCAACTTTCTGGTGAAATATCTCCAAGCATCTTGAATTTGATGTTTCTCCATTATCTGAATTTGTCCTATAACAATTTGATAGTGCATATGCCAAAAAGCACTCAACTTCAAAGCTTTGATCTGTCCAGTTATGCTGGCAATAAACTTTGTTGAGATCCATTGGAAGATCGTTGCAGTACAAATGAGGCCATGCCACCAATAGGCTCTAACTTCTATCTGATGAGAAACACGAAGTAGGTCATTTACTTGTATATGGTGGATTCTATCTAAGCTTGGGGCTTGGACTTGCATTCGGGTTTTGGATTGTTCTTGGTTTCATTGCCTCTAATGTGCCATATAGCAGTGCATTTTCTCGGTTCCAATCTTGACGAAAACACGTGTTGCTAAGGCCATTCATTCATTCATTGTTTCTGTTGCTAGAAAGGCCTCGTAGCCACCATGACGTTCAACGCAAGCTAATATCTTTAGGTGGTTTTTGTTAAGGTGGTGTATTTGACGAGTAAGGTAAATGACATTGAATCCAACAAGAGGAAAAAGAGAAGCAAATAATCAAGGGCATAGCCAAGGCGATAAATTTTATGTGTGCAGTGCTCCCAGGTTTTATTAAGACAGAAATAGTGTGCGCAGCGCACAAAATTTTTTAAGAGGAAATTTGTTAACACGCCCCGACCCTGATATTCCCCGAATACCAGGATAGACACGTGCTGGTCGACACCCGAGGGTGACGAAAGCCATTAATTGATACAAAAACTAAGAATAAGAAATAAATAAGGGTTAGAAATTTGAAATACAATGAACTAACAATTTAGGAACGTGTTCAGAGCATACAACTAAACCTAATTAGTAAAAAGAATTAAGATAAAATTTAATGAATAAAGGAATGGGTCATACATCGAGAGGATCCGAAGATGCTGCTGCGGAAGTGCCTTGACGCCGGGATTAGGTGCCTTGATTCTAAGTCCTGAATGGGGACGCAAAACAAAGGTGAGTGGACCAAGTTTATATATATAATAATAATAAAACAGTTATCAACATACTAACCCCCAAAGTTTATATAATGAAAACTACTAGCATAATAAATGATGGATTTAATAAAAATCCTAGCATGCCAAAAATATCTCAAAAGCCATATCGCGGAATAACATCGCGGAAATCAAAACAGTAAATGTCTATAAATCGTCTCGTAAGCGCGGTGTACTGCTAGTAAGATCACCGAATAAATATAACTCCCGGCCCAATGCCTGCTCCGTGGTCTCTGCGCTCGTAGCCAGAGATTACCAACTCCCGGCCCAATACCTGCTCCATGTCCCTCAGCCCGTAGCTAGGGATTATTTCTCCCGGCCTAAATGCCAACACCAGTTCCTCGCCCCAGGTGGCATAGTGTCTACTAGATACGCACAAATATTTACGTCTATCATAAATAACCACTTCATAGCATAGGTTACCGATCATCGTCTACACTATAAAGAGGGGTTCAAAAACATGTTCTAGCATCCTATCGTTATCTATCAGATAGTCTACTAGTTCATGGTTTTAATAGAAAATACGATATATTAAAATATAGCTCAATATAGGCTAACAAATAATTCCTCACCAAAACACGAGACGATAATCAATATATTAAATCATCAGGCTTCACATAAATCAAATCATAAATTCGTAGGCATGCTAATCATTTATGCAATTACTATAAAATCATGTAATTTTAGAAAGGGTCCACTCACAATACTTAGTTGCCAAAAGCTGCGCCACTAGCGAAGACGGAAACGTCATAATAATTGCCCCTAAGCACATAAAGAGTCCAATAAATAAAACTATATAATAGCAATTGAATTTGGGAAAAGGGACATTGAAAATGGATTCAGAACGTCGAATTACCCTAAGAAGGGTCCCGGACGAAAACCCGAAAAACAACCCTAAAGTCAACGTTGACCTTCGGTCAACGGTCAAATTAGGTCTAACAGTTTTTAGGCTTGAAATCTGGATTAAGGTTTAGGCTTAGGTTAAATAGGATTAGGATCTATTGGGTTTTGGGTTTTCTAAGGTTTTTGGGTTTAAAAAGGGTTTAGGGTGAAAAATTGGTGGTTTGGGCTTAAGCCCAAACACACACACACACACACACACACGGGCTGCAAGCACACAACCCACACCCACCAAAACCGGCCCTAAGGCCTCACAAAATAAAAGGCTGGGCTTGAGCTTTTTAACAAAAACCGGCCCAAGGCCTTTTGGGTCTTTAAAATAAATAACTAAAATAAAAAGAAACGGGCTGGGATCTAACGGGCTTAAGGCCCAAGGGGAAGGGAAAGGCCGGATGGCCTGGGTTTGTCGAAGGAGAAGGCCGGAAATTCGGCCGGAAAACCACCCAACTTTAAACAGCCATAACTTTGTCACTACTTAACTAAATCAAGCGAAAAAAACGAAAGTTGTAGCCCTCGAAGAGACGAAGAGAATGGTACCTTACATGACGTCTAAATTGCCGTGGTTTGGCCGGAAAATGCCTCGAAAGCCGTCGGACTCGCCGGAAACTGGGTAAGATTCAAATGAGTATAACTTCTTCAATACTCAACTAAATTGAGTGAAACAAAAAGGAAAGTTGTAGTACTCGACGAGACGAAGAGATTGATACCTTACACGCCGACCAACTCGCCATGGTTTGGCCGAAAATAGCCTCGAAAGGGGCGGTGCTCGCCGGAGGTTCCTTTTCTCTGCTTTCACCAATCTCGCTACGATGGAAGAGAGACTAGAGCAATGCTTGATGATGATGATGTTCTCGAGTAGAGTAGCTGCAGGTGGTTATGGTGGTGGGCAGAGGCGAAGCCACAGTGGGGTC